TTACTAAGCCACACCTGTTTTAATTTTTTTCTTTTTTTTTGCGTTTTTTTTGCGCACGTCCTGCTCTTGTTTTCTTCAATTTTGTGTTCCATACTATTTTTCAATCACGGTTCATGATTGCTCCTCGCGGGCCGACACTTCCCAGCCGGCCGCGCCCCGCCGCCCGCCAGACGGGCGCACGGCGGCATTCCCTGGCAGCAGAGCGAGCAGAGCCCGCGCGCGGAATTCCACCTGATACAATTATCATGCGATGGCGATATAGTGTTGGTAGGGCCGCGCGGGAGAGTGAGGCGGGGCGGGGCGGGGCGGGGCGGGGCGAGGCAGCAGGTCCATCCACAATCCGATCCAGTCGGCCGGACTGCCGCCGGCCCTGCGGCACTCGTTGAGCAGATCGAGCCGACGCGACGCGGAGTAGGTGCGCCCGCGCAGCAGGTCATTTGCAAGTGAGAGCGAATAAGCTGGAAGGGTGAGCGCAAGTGCGCGGCCAGCACATTGCTCGCGGTGAGTGTAGTGAGTGTGTGTGTGTCGGAAGTAGGCCAGTTTCGCCGACTCGCGGACTCGCGGGCGGCCTGCAGGAGGTCCTCCCCAGCTCATCATGTGGGGCCCCCTGGCGCCCGCGCGCGCGCGGGCTTTTTGTCCGCACGACGCCACGCCACGCCTTGCCAGCCCGCCGTGTGTCCGAGTCGGTTCCGAGTGGGCCGGCTATTGTATGGCCAACGCTAAGGCACACTCACACACAATCATCCTGCAAACACACACACACACAAACACACACTCACATACAAACAAGGTCATAAGTGCGCGCTGCTGCTGCTGCTGCTGTGATCGCGACGGGCCGCCCGTCGTCGTCGCAAAGACGCCCATACGCGCCCATCGGATGGGTCCGCCGCCGCCCGGTGCGGTAGGACCTCGCTACGCCACGCCTCGCCCCGCCCCGCCCACAAAACTACGCACCACACTGCCGCGTCGCCATTACGTCCGGAGTCAATCAAAATGACGATAAAATTTATACCCCGCCAGAACCTGTAGAGGTCGCGACACCGCTGATGCAAATTCTGTTCGAAAATAAAGAAGTTGAAGTACACATGACTCACGTTGAGGCGGTAAAATTACTCCGAGCAGCCTTCAAGGGCATATTTCAGGATTTGCGTCTCTAAACGACCAAGTGCGGAGGAGTTGGAGTCTCAGCCGCGCTCCTTCGACTCAAGAAGCACAAACACGGGCAGACAGGGACAGGAGCGCCAACAAGCCCGAGGCGTTTGTTTGCCCAGTTCACTAATAGAAATCGAAATTATATCGAGTGAATTCTGTAAATAAGAAAGTGTAAGCGAGCCGAGTCGAGTCGTTGGGGGAGTGAACGGGGGAGGGGGATGTGTCCGTCTGGCTGCGGCAGTGATAAAAGCGGGAGGGTGGCGTGACTTGAGGGGGAAGTATCAGAGACAGGGAGGGTGTCGGTGGCAACTAGTACGAAGGTCAGGGTTACCATGGGGAGGGAAGGACAACCCCTCTCTCTCTCCCAACCGAATACTGCCCCGCCTTGACTTATACAGGAAGGCGAGGCGGGGTTCCCCTCGGGGCGTTCCTACAACATGCAAGGTGGGCGAGGGTTGAGTGACATCGCGATGTGTGCAGTCTGTATTTTGTCTGTCCGCAGCAGCCAGAATCGACTCGGCCAACTCCAACCGTGTTGGGTGTGGGCAACCCGCAACGAAACTGGCTGCGGCAAAATGGAAACTACGTCCAACAGCGTAACAGACACAGATTTGCTGCAGCAAAAAGCTGCTCTTTCTGCTTTGAGACGATCGAAAAACAATCGGGGAGAGTTTGTTAGTGATAGAGTCGTGTAACACGGCGAAAGTAAAGTTCCCCCCGCCGCTGCCCTGCGCCGTGACATACGACCTGCAACCTGCGGGCCGGGGCGGGCCCGTGTCGCGGAGCGGACTGTACATGTCACCCGACACGGCGCAAACAATACACTGCCCAGGAGCAAGGGGCGCAACAGCTCGGCTCCGCTCGGCTCCGCTGTCAGGCCCGGGCCGCCCGTCGCGCACAGGACTTTACTGCCCCGATTCACGCGACCAGCTCAGCCGAACTGCTCGGCCGCGGCGGCCGGGCTTTGGGCGCGGGCGACCTTGGCGCGGCCGGCATGGGGAATCATCCTCCTCGAGCAGCACGCCGCGGAACAGCACCGAGTAGCGTTCAAGTCGCCCGCCCGCCCGCCTCGAGTGGGAGGCGCAGTAGCCGGCCTGCAGCGCGCGCAGCCTGCCTGGGAGGCTCGGCTCGCGCAGAGTGACGTGACGAGCGCCGAGCGGCTCCTAAACAGATTTTAGTAGTCCTTTCTCTCTCGCTCACTCGAGCGCGAGTGTGCGCGGATCTGTCTTTTTCTACGCGAGGGGCTGGCACGGTTCGGCACCGAGCGAAGGGACTCGCCGCGGCGCGGGGGCGGGGCAGCAGCCTGGCCCGCGAGCGCGGGGTATGCGCCCGCGAGGCCGGCGAGGCCCGCGAAGCGCGTGGGGTATTCCCGTGTCACTCACCAGCACGGAAGATCTCGCCGCAGCCATCGCAGCGGGAGGCGAACTGCGCATCGTAGCAGTTGCCGCAGTAGATGTGGTCCGCCTTGGAGCCGAACTGCTTGTCCACCAGGGACACGCGGCACTTGGAGCAGAGGAAGCACGCCTCGTGCCAGTGCTTGTCCTTGTACGACAGATCCTGCGGCAGGAAAGAGGAGAGAGTGGTCACGGACGGAAACTACCAGGATTTGACAGGGGTTTTATCTGTTGCCATTGTCGTCATTTTCCGTCCGAGGCCGGGCGGAGGCGAAAGACACTCCACTATAGATTCAAGCATACACTTCTTCTTCTTTATTTATCTCGATATTCCTGAATTTTGTTTTGATTTTTCCTTCATTTCCCAGATTATTTTAATTATTTTTTAAAAATTTTAAAGAAGTGAATACAGTGACGTTTGGGAGTAAAGTACGTACACCCCGTGGACAGAGGCCAGATGAGTGCGAGAGGAGAGAGGGCTGCACACCTCTTCTCCCTCTCCCTCCCGCTCTCTAGTAAAGGTAGGATAGGTCGATTTGTGATTTTGATTTTGTACTTTTGCGTAGAAGCATGCAACTTGGCACACTTGTACCTCACGGGGGAGGCAACTCAAATTTTGAGTGCTGAATAGCGTTTCTGATGTTCCTATATTCAATGCAAATCAAATCATATGGGAAGATACAGGTAATTAACACGCCAAGTTGCGCCTGTCTCATATGCTTACAATGCCTTATTCGCAAACGCCCCCGGCGCCTCGTCGAATGGGCTGCCTACCTCTAGGGCGGCTCTCTCTCTTTCTCTTTCTCTCTCTCTCTCACCTTAGAGTCGATGCCGATCGTCTTGCTGCACTCCTCGCACGTGTTGGCGAAGACGGACTCGTAGCACTTGATGCAGTAGGGGTGCTCGTCGCGCAGCACATAGCGCTGGCCGGTGAGCGACTCGTCGCACTGCCAGCAGCAGAAGTGGCCCGCGTGCCAGTCCTTGGACATGGCCTTGGTGTACTCGCCGCTGAAAATCAACTGCAACAAGGAAGAGGTGGGCGTCAGCATGTCACCTACAACGTCGATATGTTTTCTTTCTGCTCGTCTGCTTATTCTTAGTTTGTTTTCCTACAGAAAACCTAACTATGAAAATTTCAAGGGAGACCCAATTAAAAACGCCCCCTCCCCCTTTCCCCCCGGCATCTCATCCGAGGACGCCTCTCTCGGGCAACGAGTTAAGTGGCGGCCTCTTTCTGACGATATCCCGAAGCCCCGCCGCCGCTGCGTTGGCTATTTTTATTCAACTAACAGGGAATGGGAGAGTGGCGCGGGATGCTTTGGGGGGTCCCCCCCCCTTCCCTACGGGCACTGCACCCCGCCACCCCCCGCCGTGCAACACCTTGGTGGTGCAGCATCATTGTGCACACGCCAAAGCAAACGCCGCCGTCCTTGAGGGCTGTGAAGAATTAGTTCCCCTTCGACAGGACCGGGAATAGATGAGCTCTCTCTCTCTCTCTCTCTCTCTCTCTCTCTCTCTCTCTCTCTCTCTCTCTCC